TCTCTCTCTCTCTCTCTCTCTCTCTCTCTCTCTCTCTCTCTCTCTCTCTCTCCCTCTCTCTCTCTCCTTCTTCTCCCCCAAGCTGGTACGCTACAGTGCTGAGGGTCTGCTCCAGCTGGGGCCTCTGGGTTCCACTGCCTTCCTGCCAGACTCCAAGTGTCTCATTGATGATGGGAAAGGTCGGACACCCACCCTGAAGAAATGTGAGGATGTGTCCCGCCCTGCCCAAAGACTCTGGGACTTCACCCAGGTAAGAGTTGAGGTATGGGAGGGGGGCACTAAGAGCTCCCCAATCCAGCATTATTTCAGTGTCTCATGCCACCTCATGATTGTCTTTGCTGAAAACTCTCAGGTCCCCAGAAGAGTATCCTCAATTCCTAGCACTCAGAGAGGAATTCAGCCAGGAGAGACCTGCCCAGACAAAGACATAGGACTATTCCCATCAAATTTAGGGAGCTGTTATGGGGGCCAGGGCGGACCTGGAACAGGGCAGAGAAGAAACAACTTTATGTTAAGCATAAAATAGCATCCAGGATGACTGCACATATATAGAGAAATTGAGGCATGGTAATGATCAAGACTTCCTAGAGGATTTCAAGGATCCCAGCAGAGCAGGAACTAGCCAGGGGATTATTTGGACTCACAACATCATAGAATCACACAATTTGAGAATTTGAAGGGAGACCAGTGGCTATCTAATCCAACCCATGCACAAAAGGAATCTTCAATATAATATACTTGCTGAGTGGTTACCCAGCCTCTTCTTGAAGACATTAAGGAGAGAAGACCCACTACATCTCCAGGAAGTTCATTCTCTTTGCAGACAGCTCTCACTGTGAGGACATTGTTCCTGACTTTAAATCTCTGCTATTTCTACCCTTTGCTCCTGGTTTGGACCTCTGGGTCAAATGGAACAATTCTATTCCCTACACTCTGAGCCTTCCATCCTCCAGGCTTCCAGGCTGGACATGCCCAGTTCCTTCAGCCAACATGATTGGGGTCTCTAAGGGAGCTGAGGTGGACCTAGTTAGAGGCTATGTCCCCCTTATAGTCATAAATTAAATCTTGGCTTGCATCTATGCCTGCATCTCTTCCCAGAAGCAAGTCTTTTGAACCTAAGGTAGCTGGCCTGAGAAATTGTGGTTGAGTATGCCTGGTATCTGTGCTTGTGCAGAGGGACAGGAAGCTGAGATGGGAAATTCCATTTCCCTCCAAGGCCTCTTCATAGTCTCCAAATAAGGAAGCAGTTATCTGCACTGTTTATATCAAAGGCAGGAGAGAGTGAACCACATTGGGGATTCTCAAGGAAGTGGTTTGTCTGGAGAGGAAGAAGACCAGGGCATTTTGTTTGTTGAGTTAGCTCAATGACTCATAGAATACCTGAGGTGGAAGGAATACTAACTACTAACTATGTGAGTGTGGCCATAGTATCCTAAAGAGACAGAGAGACAGGCAGGGGATCACTAGCATAAATCACCTAGTCATCTGTGCCTTTGTTCTCAAGAAGTTATGACTACCACCACCATGTGTATGTACCTCCTCTAGGAAGGGAATCAACTGAGGTCCTCCTCATTAACCTTATTTCCTTTCCATCTCCTCTCCCCACCCCAGAATGGCCCCATTGTGAGCAGAGACACAGGACGGTGTCTGGAAGTGGAGATGTCCAAGGAGGCTAACTTTGGTCTCCGATTGGTGGTGCAGAGGTGCTCGGGACAAAAATGGATGATTAGAAACTGGATTAAACATGGGCGACACTGAAGGGGACCCCTCTCACCCTCCTCATGAGAGGATACCCTTCTCACTCCTCTTCTTCCCAGACCTGGTGGTGAGAAAAACTATGGGAAGAAGACAAGGATGGCTTACTAAGGATTAGATCACCAAGCCTAGGGTCCCCACTGGCCCCACAGCTCTCCTCCCATGGACACCAAGAAAGAAGAGGCTGTCTCATTCACTATCTCTGGCCCGGGACAGGACCAGCCATTGGGCTTCCTGGCAGCCATACTCCTACAGAGCAATGGAAAACCCTCTTGACCCTGTGTGGAGTCTAAAGGGAACCACCTTATCAAGAGAACCCTCTTTGGACAGATGATTCCTCAGCTTTAAATTACTGGATTGGTGCACAACTCCTCTGATAAAGAATCATGTGCCTTTTCTACTGTATTTCCTATTTGAGCCACCTAGGACAGCTCCCCTCACTGGGAGGCAGCCACATCTTCAGCATGTATGGACTTCTTGTGTTAATGCCCCAACATGTAAATAAATCCACTGTAAAATTTACACCCTGGTCCATCTCAAGGGTAGCTTCCTGGGAGTCTGTTTGGGATCCAAAGCCCACATCCCAGGGTACAGATTACCCCAAGGCCATGGCATTTGTGGGCTTTCCTCAGCCCCTCCGGGACCCCAACGATGGAGCCAGGAATCCAGCCAATTACTGGCTGACTTGGCCAATTTCCTCTTGTTCTTTGGATTTCTTGAGCCACAAGGCACAGAGGAACAGGCTCTGCTTCTAAGGGATGAATGAAGCATTTGGTCTGTGCCCAGTGCCCTCCACACACACACACACACACACACACACACACACACACACACACACACTCATTCTGATCAGAGGAAGCTGGGAGGAAATGGCTTGGTCACCAGATGCTCTGGCCCTTTTTGAGTCTGAGGCCAAGAAGCCATTGGCTGGCGACTACATACAAGGGGCTCAAGTTTTGGGAAATTGTTCTGCCCCCTCTTCACCCACCAGTGATGGTGGTGCCTTCCCAGATATGGGCACTGCAGGCAGCAGCCCTGACCAGGAGGAAGAGCACTTTGGGTGTGGCAGACATGGAAAGATTTTCTCCAGAGGTTTCCACGGTGTCTAAATTCCCAGGACAGACAATGGGCACTGATTACTCAAAGCTGATTTTTTTTGCATCAAATTAAAAGACAACATTTGACCATCATTATGGGGGGAAATCCTTTATTCAGTGCCAATGTGCACTTTGTGGGGAGGAGAGGGTGGGAAAAGACTCTGCCTTTGGAGAGATAATAGTTTGAGGCAGATCAGAACAAGGTGGGCAAGCACTCAGTTCAACATACATTAAACTCTCACAGATAAACATGGGCATGTCAACCAGTCTAGAAGCATTTATTAAGCATCCACTGTTCACCAGGTACCAAGCAAGCTAAGCACTGAGGATACAAAGAAAGGCAAAAACATATTCCCTACCCTCAGGGAGCTCACATTCTAATGGGGAGAGCCACCTAAAATTAGGTAAATACAAACTATATACAAAGTAGAGAGATAGAAATCTGAGAGGGAAGGGATTAAAAGCTGGCAAGACTGGGAAGGCTTCCTGTAGAAAATGGGATTTGAGCTGAACCTTAAAGAAAGCCAGGGAAGCCAGGAGCAGAGTTGAAAAGGGAGACCACTCCAGAGGTGCAGTACAGTCAGTAAAAAAGTTTAGAGGAGGTATGTTATGTAAAGTAGACCATCATTGCTGGATCAGAAACTGCATGGAAGGAGGAGTAAAGCTTAAGACAGAAAAGGTAGGAAAGGGCAAAATATAGATATAGACATGTGTGTATGTATACGTATATATGTATGTGTATGTGTGTGTATGTGTGTGTGTATGTGTGTGTGTGTGTGTCTGTGTGTGTGTGTATAAAAAGGGTGAGGGGTGAGAAAGTCCAAGGACTGCAGGGATGGGAGAATTCTGATGGTATATTGTTAGATGGGGGAATAAGTAATAGGGAAGAGGAAAGGGGGGAGGTAGTAGGAGAACAGGGATGCAAGGAAGTAAAGAAAATGGGGGGGGGAAGAAGACAGTAGTGATGGAACAGGCTGAAGAAGACTTTACAGAAGCCCATCCTGCCAAGACATCCCTAGAAACATTGAAAGTCCAAATAGATTTTTTAAAGACAAAAGGGAACAAAGAAAGTTGATCTGGGGGGATAAAGGCAAGGCATTTCAAGAGGTCACTCCAGCATGCTGCCTTTGCTGCATCTGGGGTTTCTGATTTCATTTTTTAAAGGCAAAGAGAACTGATGAACATCTGGTAAACAGAGTGGTCAAGAACTACAGGAAATTTTACCAGGGAATTCTGTGATGGCCTTCCATGTTTAGCCAGCCAGGGTCAGGAAGCAATCATCTTTCCCAATGAGAAAGTAATTATCTGCCCTATTCATATCAAACACAGAAGGGAGTGAACCACCTTGGGGATTCTCAAGGAAGTGGTTTGTCTGGAGGTGAACAGTGCCACGACATTTTGATAGTTGTGTTAGCTCAATGACTCATAGAATTCCTGAGGTGGAAGGAATCCTAACTATGTGACCATGGGCAAGTCATCCACCCTTGCTAAGCCTGTTTCCTCATCTGCAAAATGGGAATAACAATACTCATAGAATCTAACCTCAAGTCAAGACAACCACTATTTAATAAGTACCTACTGTGTGCCAGGCACTGTGCTAAGCACCAGGCATAGAAAGAAAGGCAAAAACAGTCCACACTCTCAGAGTTCACAGTCTAACGGGGGGACCACATGCAAACAGCTATATACAAACAATATAGAGAACATAATAGGAGATGATCTCAGGGAAAGTGCTAGCATTGAAGTGATTCTGCAGAGGCTTCTTGTAGGAAGTGGAGTTTTAGCTGAGATTTGAAGGAAACTGGGGAATTTAAGAGGCAGGAGTAAGAAAGGAAAGGATTTCAGGCATGGGGTGGGGTGAGGGGAACAGTCAAGAAAAAAGCTCAGAGCCTGGAGATGGAGCACCCTGTGTGAGGAACAGCTGGTGTCACCAGATCAAAGGGTATGTGGAGGGGGCCATGTTAAGAAGACTAGAAAGGGGCAGAGGGGGACAGGTTATGAAGGGCTTTGATTGCCAAATGGAGGGTTTTATATTTGATCCTGAAGGTGATAGGAAGCTGCTGGAGTTTATTGAATGGGGGAGGGAAGTGGCAAGGAAGAGGTGACATGTTCAGACTTCATTATAAGACTCCTATGAAGAGCAAACGAGATAACATACATAAGCCACTTATGCAAACTTTAATGGAAGGCATAAATGTCAGAGGCAGCCTGGCATAGTAGATAGAGAGCTGGCTTGGAATGAGGAAGACCTGGGCTCAAGCCCTGTCTCTGACCCATACAGGTTATGTAATCCTTGGCAAATCACTTAACCTTTCGATGTCCCCAGGAAACTCTAGTCCTAAAATTCAGAGACAGTGCCGACATGCATTGGTAAAAAGAAGTCCCTATAGTGGTGAAATCACAGGTCCAGTCAGAATATTGTTATCAGCTAGTCTAACCCCCACCTCCCATTTTACAGATTGGGAAAGTGAGGCCAAAATAGGATCATAGAATCATTTATTCTATGAGAAATATCATGGGAAGTAGCATGGTATAATAAATAGTGTCTTGGTCCTGAGATCAGGAAGACCTGAGTTCAAAACCAGTCTTGGATACTTACTAGCTGTGTGACACTGAGCCTAAGTATCACCTAAGCCTCAGCTTTCTTATCTGTAAAATGGGAATAATAACAACACCTGCTTCCTAGGGTAGATGTAAAGATCAAATGATATGAGGCATGTGAAGGGCTTAGAAAACATAAGGACATGATATCCACATGAGCTGCTCTTATTTGGAGCTGGATGGGACTTTAGAGAGCACAAGACCAGTGGTTTCCAACATTTTTGTTCTGTAAATCCCTTTCAACAACAACCCCCTCCCAAAAAAAAATGTTGTAAACCCCCATGGTCATTTAATGTATTATTCATCATATTCTACAATTATTTATTTAAAATTTTTTAGCATGAACACCTTAGACCATTGACATGAACCCTCAAGGGGTTCTCAAACCACTAAACAGAAACCACCATTCAACCTTCTGATTTTATAGATTGGTAAACTGAGGCCCAGAGAGATGAAATTTTAAAAATTGGTAAACTGAGGCCCAGAGAGATGAAATAAGAAAATAGTAACTCTCCTTTCTGAAAGATAAAAGGCTTAAGTTTAGAGCTTACAGGACCTTAGAGATTATCTAGTACAACCCTTTCATTTTATAGTTAAAGAAACTGAGTCTCCAAAAAGGTAAGGGACCTACCCCAAATTATGCTAGTAAGCAGCAAAGGAAAGAGACTCACCCAGGATCACATAACGAATGCCACAGGGCACTTAAATAGTGTGGAAGATGGGGCACTAGATCTGGAGTCAGGAAGACCTGAGTTCAAATCCAACATCAGACACTAGCTGTGTGATCCTGAGCAAATCACTTAAGCCTCAGTTTCCTCAATTTCCTTATCCTTCTGGGTCCTTGTGAATGCATTAACATCCTATTGATTGCAATTCAATTCAACAAATACATGTCTAAATACCTCCTATTTGCCAGTCATAGTGCCAAGTGCTTGATACAATTTTTAAGTCACAGAGTATCAGAGTTGGAAGGGACCCAATCCAATTCTTATCTGAATAGGAATTCTTCTACAATATACCCAGCAATTGGTCATTCAGTCATCATTTGAAGACCTCCAGTAAGGAAGGTTCCACTGTCTCTCGAGGCATCCTACCCCATTTGGGGATATCTCTGATGATTAGGAAGTTTCTTTGCATCAAGCTGAAATCTACCTCTCTACACCTTCTACTCCTTGGGTCTAGTTCTGCCTTCTGGGGCCAAGCAAAACACTCTTTCCATGGTAATTTTTCTTGTTTGACTCTCCATGACCCCATTTTGGGGTGTTCTTGGCAAAGATACTGGAGTGGAGTGGTTTGCCATTTTTT